AAAGTAATAATTAGAAAAGAACTAATTATTACTTATTTAAGTATTGCAAGTTGTTTTTTAAAATAAATATTACAGGTTTCTTTTTAAATAATTTCTTCTTCTAATGTAAAATTCAATATGAATGTGTTTACTTAAGAAAAATTTTAATTTCAATTAACAAACGGTTATGGAACAGATAAATTTCTTTTAAAGTGTTGTTTGTAATATGTGTTCTGTACTGTCGCTTTTACAAAAATTTCTGCTGAAAATTAAGCAGAACAAAGAAAAATTTTAAATTTGAGAAAAAATTATACTCGTTTATTGCAATGTAGATGTAAGACGTGTGCAAAAAAATCGTTTCTTCGTTATCGTAGACATATGCATACTATTTAGGCATCAGACTGTTGATGTTTTAGACAAATTTTTGACTTAATAAATGTACGTACTATAGGTATATAATTTTCAACTTTTAATTCCTTATTTTAATTGTTAACTATTCTTATTACAATTGTATTGTTTATTTGTTTTCTTCCATTCTGTTAGACCTTGAAAAAACTCAAAACGACTGAATAACACGTCGGAAATTTGATAATAAATTGGATTATTTACCCGAATAGTTCATGTTTACTTGTATACAATTTAATTTAATATGGTCTTTTTGTTTTATCGTAATTATGTATTCTTATAGTTATTTTTAAGCGTTTTTTCTTGTAATTATTTATTACAGTTGTATTTAATTTTCACAGTTTTTAAAATATAACTGTCATAAACAATTACAAGGGGAATATTTAACTTTAACCATAAAATGTTTCTTTTCTTTATCATTGTTTGATATATAATAACACAATTATCTTTTTGTTGCAGGTGGGTACTCATCAGGACCAAGCAGCGTCGTGGGACTTCGATCGGGAGTGTCGCGTCGGGAGTGTTCTGGAGCGTCCAGATTCGAACTTCGAAGTCACCAATACCCGGAATCTCGGAACTTCCGGGGTCCTGGGTCTTGGAAACTTCGGAATTCGAATCTCAAGGCCTCCAAAACATCGGATTCCTTTGGGATCCTTTGTTTTGGAGAACTTGGGACTCGAATTTCGAAGTTTCTGAGACTTAGTATCCCGGAAGTTCCGACTTCCAGGTCTTGGGGGCCACTTAGTTCGAATTTGGACACTCCAACGTCCGGGCCTTGTCCCGGACGCTCGTCGAATTAACAAAACCTTTCGCACTAAACCTGGTAGGCCTGAAAAATTTTTTTTTGTCAAAATAAAACACAGTATAAGGGTTATCTCTCGTTTTATTTGTGTATCTCCCCCCTTGCCCCTCTCCCCCCTTGCCCCGGGGGCACCGCCCCCGTACACATTCACACCCTCATTCGCACCGGGGGTTTCCCCCTTATGTCATTCACTCCGAGGGTGGAGTGTGTGTACGAGAGAGTGCGTGTGTGAGAGATTGGTACGCATTTGCATTCTCTCTCACACACACACACACTCTCACGCACACATTCTCACCCCCTTTCACGCCGAGGGCGAGAGTGTGTGCTTAAGAAGGAGCGTGTGTGTGAGAGAAGAGAGTACAGATACATACTCTCTCTTTCTCTTACACACTTACCCTCTCAAACACACATTCTCGCCCTCATTCATTCTCTCAACCCTTTCTCACCTACTCATTCATACTCTCTCTCTCCGTCACACGCTCTCTTGCACACATTCGCACCCTCGTTCAGTCCAAGGGTGAGAATGGATGTAAAAGGGCATGTATGTGAGGAAGTATGAATATAATTTATATTTCCTTCACAAACAAACCCTTTCACACACATTCCCACCCTCAGACTCTCTCGTAGATACATTCATTCTCTTTCTCTCACCCTCATTCATTCTATCCCTCGCATTTTTACGTTCTTCCATACTATTCATCCCCATTTATTCTCCCCTATCACACATATACTTGCTCTTATTCTCTCTCTCCTCCAAATTCCTACTCTCATTCATTCTTTCTTTCCCAGAAATTCTCACCCTCATTCACGTTGTTCTACACATTTTGCTCTCTTACATTTGCACCCTATCCATTCTCTTAGATACTCCTCCGTCTCACCCTCAGCCTTTCATACATTCCCTCACTACCACAAGCTCACGCCCTTTCACATTCTTTCTTACCTTTTATTCCACTTTCACCTTTATATTGTATCATGCATTCACTAGCACCCTTGCATCTACACTCACCCTTACTCACTGCCATACAAATTCTCTTTCTCATTATCGTTCTCACCCCATAATAAATCCCCAAATCCCCAATTATATTGTTACAGCAATATGAAAAATATTAACTCTTATAAATAAATCTACAGCTAGATATATATAAACCCTAAACTAAATTATTAAATGTATCCTAAAATATCGTGAATAAATAATTATGCCCTATCTAAATATATACACATCAAAATATTAAATATTGTTTTACATCACAATTTAAAAAATATCTAAAGATTAATCTATTAATTCAACTTAAATTAAATTAATGTATAACACATACATAAGCATATAGTAATAATAAACAACTTTAAAAGTGCATTTCTTAATATTTCCCGTACAATACTTTGATTTTCAAAAGTGGATTAATTATTTTAAAGTTTGAAATTCT